TCCTCCTTGGTCATTGTCCAACTCTCTGATGCATAACAAGTGATTGTGAAGACCATGGCCTATATCAGATGAACCTCAGTCTCCAGAGAGACACCATTGCTCTTCAGTATACTTGGATTTGATGCATAGATACTTATTATTTTTATGTCCTCATGTTCTATTGACCCTTTAAGTATTATGTAGAGACCTCCCTCATCCTTTGTGATGGTTTTTTCATTGAAACTTATGTTATCTGAGATTAATATCACCCCACCTGCTTTTTCTGGTTGCCATTTGCTTAGTGTATTTTCCCCCCACCCTTTTATTTTTAGTCTTTCATTTCAGTCTTTACATTTCAGGCATGTCTTGTAGACAGCATATTGATGGATTTTTTTTTATCCAATCTGGTACTCTTTTTCTCTTCAGTGGTGCCTTTGAACCATTCACAGTCAGTGTGATTATTGAGAAGCAAGGTTTTATTGCTATCATTTTGCTGAGTTGTTGGGGTGGTTTTTTTGGGAGGGGATGTTCTTGCTAGTTGCTTTGGTCTATCCTGCTTTCTGTGGCACCTCAATAAGAAGGATGCCTCTCAGTGTTTCCTGGAATGCCGGTCTTGTTTTTACAAACTCCCTTAGGTTCTGTTTTTCTGGGAATATTTTGATCTCTCCTTCATATTTGATGGACAATTTTGCTGGGTACAGTATTCTTGGTTCACAGTTGTGTTCTTTGAGTGTTTGATATATGTCATTCCACAGTTGTCTTGCTTGCATGGTTTCTGAGAAATCAGTACTTAATCTTATATACTCGCCCTTGTAGAATACTCTTTGTTTCTCCCTCACTGGTTTCAGAATTCTCTGTATATCTTTGGTTCTGGCAAATTTGACTATGGTGTCCCTTGGTGTTTTTCTTTTGGGGTCTATTCTATATGGTGTTTGCTCAGTTTCTTGAATATATATCCTCTCATTCTTCAATATGCCTGGGAAATCCTTTCTTTCTTTTTTTATTAATTTTAATGAAAGTTTACAAAGACTTAGGGTACCCAGTGACTCATTGTTGCACTTTTCCTCCTGTCCACTCCTGAAGATTTCTTCTAGTAATTCTCCAACAACTTTTTCATTGCCTTTGTTTGCTTCTTTTTGTTCTGGGAGGGATTCTGATGATGCATGTGCTATTTCTCTTGATGGTATCCACATTATTCATAGGTTTTCTTCTTCTTCTATTTCTCTGGTTCTCTGTTCCATGTCTTTGACTCTGTTCATGTGTCCCTCCATTATGTGGACATCATCTGAAACATTGGATCTCAAATTTTGGATCGTGGTTTCTTGTCTTCCCAGTGCCTCCAACGCCTCATTTGTTCTATCTGCATTGTTTTGGATTGGTTTTTTAAACTTCTCCTGGTTTTTGCTTGCAGTGTCGAATAATTCTTCTAGTTTGTCTTTCACCCATTGAAAATATTCACTTTTCTTTTAAATTCTGTGTCAGGAAGTTCCATCACACTTTCTGGCTTCAGGAAACTCATTGGTACTGTGTCATCTTGAGGGGGGGTGGGGTGGGTTGATATTTTGCTTTGGGCTTGTGTATGAAGCGAGGTAGTCCACTTCTTTCATGACATTGAGTTTTCATGCCTAGGCCGTTCTTGATCTGGTGTCACTGCTCTGGAAGAAGGTTGGGCAGGTATGCATGTATAGGTGGACGCACATGGATGCATGTAGGGTGGATGTATGCGCAGACACATATGAGGGGTGGGGAGGGGAGGAACACACACATGTAGATCCAGCAAGAGGTGTGTGTTTGTAGTGGGGACCTGAATGGAAAAACCCAGGAAGCCTTATTTTTTCCCTTGTAAACTGGGTCTGCCACCCCGGTCGAGCTCCAGCTGTCTCACTCCCTCCTGCTTACAGTGAAGGGATTTCACGAGTGGTCCAGCAAACATCAGTGATCTCCTCCCAAGAACCACTGTCCTTGCTCCTGGCGGGTGGGTCTCACCACAACTTGCTGTTCCCTGCCAAGGCTCGCTGCTGCCCACATAGGCATGCTGTTCGCTGCTGAGGCTAACGAATGAATTATTTTAATAAGATTTCTTACTCAAATTCCATCTGTCCTGTGCATTCATCTTGCTCTCCCCTCAAGTTTTTTAAATTTTATTTTTTTATTTTAACTTTTGCTTTCTAGTCACCAGTTACTATTAATGATTTTGGTAATGCTTGTGGATTGTGATATTGGAGAAGAATATTGAACATACAATCAATGTGTTGTGAGTCTATCATTTAAAACGGATTTACTAGGCCATTGCATTAGATTCTATTACATGGCCAAGTTGGATCTCGCAGTTAGAATGGACACACTCAGAGAATCCACCCTAAAGGAAAGCAAGACCCTGTGGGTGTGGTGCTCGAATACACATACTGCCTCTGGGAAGTCCTCCAGCCAGCTCAATCCTGTATGCCTTGTAAAGGCCTGGTTCCTCCTCATCAGCATCGTCACTGGCCTACATCATCAACAGTTGCTTGAGCCATTTTTTCTTTCCTTTCCCTCAATGTTTCTTTGAGTTTTCAGTCTATTACAGAATCCAAAGATAGAAATAAAATTAAAGTGGGCACACGAGGGAGTGCTGGAGGTGGGGAGAGATAGGATAGTTGACTGGATATTTAGGACAATTTGACCTTAGCCTTTTAGTATGTAATTTGGTGCTAATCTTTGTAGAATAAATTCTAATCACAACTGCCAAAGCACAAACAAATCTGTCTAGGATGAAGTCAATCTTAGTGCTTCTCAGAGACGAGGATTTTCATACTCACCTCACATAATTGGGCATGTTTTCATGAGGCCCAGTCCTTGGGGGGGGGGGAACCCAAACAACGATTATGTGGACCAGAAAAAGAGAAAGATCATCAACAAGATGGATTGATACAATGATTGGAAGCATTGGCTTGAGCAATGTGCAGACTGTGAAGATAGCACAGGACAGCCCAAAGTTCAAGTTTGTTGTTCACAGGTTCCCTATGCATGGTAGTTGACTTGATGGCAGCTAAGAACCTTTCCTTTGTATTAATTCAAGACATTCAAGCACTTGGTTTACCTTATTCTCTTGATTTACAATTGGTAGCCTTTTATTTTTGGTCCATATTATTAAAGTGAGTCATGTTTGACATGCTCCAGAAAAACTCTCGTATTCTGAACTTTGTTTCTTGTGTAACTCTGTTTTTAAAAGTCTGACTATAAGCGAGGGCATCAATTTAAAGTCTAAGGTGCGATTGACCCAAGATGTATTTTGAACTGCTTCATAGAGGTATAGAAAGCTAGGCAGTGAACAAGAAAGACCCAAGAAGAGCCTTCTTGAAGGAAGTGCAACCAGGGTGTTCCTTAGGGCAATGTTAGTGAAAATCTTCTCTCACGATTTGGCATGTTGTCAAGAGTGGCAGTTCCTTGGGGAAAAAAAACCCCATCATATTTGGAAAAGAAGACTGTCATGGAAAAGATGACCTTAAATTGTATGGGTTGATGATTGTGAGAATGGCATAGGATAGGGCAAGATTTTGATCTCAGGAGCTTGGTGCCCCACTACAGGAAGGATGATAGAGGGGACAGTTTGGATATGCTTATAAGCGAACAGTAGTGATTACTTTCTGGGGTAATCAGTGAATGAGACTAAAAAATCCTGAAAAGAGCCTTTCGAAGAAAGTGCGCAAGGATGGAAACGATAAGCGACTAGAACGCAGTGTTCTCCATAGTCAATTGTATTCCCTGCCGCGCTTCACCGAGAGGCGCAGCCCCCTCGCGGAAACTCAATTAAGCTCCACCCCCTGGCACAGCACGCAGGCGCGGACCTCGCGGCTCCGCCTCTACCGGGCCGTCCCGCCCCGCCCCTGGGCGGTTGCTCGCGGCTGCCACCGCCCTCCACCAACCCAATGGCTCGGCTGGCCTGTCAGTGATGTGAAGCAGTGCTCGGGCTTGTCCGGCCCGCAGGCCATTACAGCATTCTCCGCGGCATTCGCTGCAGCCGCTGCAGCCGGAGCAAGCAGGGAGGGCGGGAGACGGCGTGGCGGGGCGGGGCGAGCGGCGCGGCCGGATTTCTTCCTCCGGGGTGCGGGGTATGGAGGAACTGTGCGTCCGCAGGCGGAGCTGGGCGGCCCGGGCGGCGGCGGGGACAACGGTTCGCTTCTGAAGGGGGCGGCCCGCTCCCGGACAGACGGCGGCGAGAGGAGACGGGCCCTCGGGCAAGTAGTAGCTGCAGCGGCCTGGCTGGCCTCAGGTCGGGGCCCTGAAGCGCCCACCGGGAGGCCGGGGCGGGAAGGAAGGGCGCCCCTGGGAGCGGAAGGCGGGCGGCAGGTTGGAAACCGTGGACTTGTAGATTGGCCGGGTCCTGTAGATCGTGGTCAATGGAGGAGCTTCGGGAGGGACGACCGTGGCTAGAAGAGGGAGAGGTGAAGGTTATGTAGGGGCAGCTGTAATTTGGGGAACCCGAAGATCCCTTGAGGGAGATAAAAACGGGGCAGGCGAAGTTAATGCCTACAAGGCAGCCGGTTTCCCGAGAGCCTCGAGTAGTTTTCAAGAAGAGAAGCTCTCGGATGAGAGTTTTGGCTTTGGCTGGCCGCTGTTTGAGAGTGTCTGGCCTTTTTGTTCCTTCTCGAAACCTGCCCCAGGCCAAAGGCCTTCAGCCTCGCGCCCTTGGCCCGCTCTCCTCTGCAGATGCGAGAAAGGGAAACCTTTCTGAACCCGCGCCTCCCACTCCTTCGGTTGTACTCTCCTAGGGCATGTGTAAAGCAAAACTAGAACAAAGCTTGGTTGCTTGGAGCTGGAGGCAAGAAACCGATCGCTTGAACTGTTTACATTTTCTTTCCTTACACAGCGAAAAGACTGCTTCGCACCCAAACCAGTTGGGTCTCTACGTGTATCTTGTGTTTTCCTTTTCTTGGATGTGGGGCGCGTAGTAGTACCTAGCGTACGGCTTTATTTTCTGCTCAGAAAAAATCTAAATAGTGTCCGATGGGAGATTCCAAGCTGCTAACGACTTCCCCCCTCCTCTCTCTGTAGTTTGGTGATCCAGTTGTCAGATGTTGGAAGGCAATAGGACACAGCATACTTTCCGAGCTTTTCTATCCGTTCCTGGGCGCAGCGATTCACATTGAACTTTGGTTTCCTGTAACTCTCTTCGCCTGTGTTTCGAGTTAGGCTGGAGCTTTGCTTCGAAGGATAAATAAAGCACAACCTCTCAGCTGGACATAAATGGATCTAAAGACAGCCGTCTTTAACGCAGCTCGGGATGGTAAACTCCGGCTTCTCACCAAGTTATTGGCAAGCAAATCCAAAGAGGAGGTTTCCTCCTTGATCTCCGAAAAAACAAATGGGGCCACGCCACTCTTGATGGCAGCCCGGTATGGGCACCTGGACATGGTGGAGTTCCTCCTGGAGCAGTGCAGTGCCTCCATAGAAGTTGGGGGCTCCGTGAATTTCGACGGTGAGACCATTGAGGGGGCGCCCCCTTTGTGGGCCGCCTCTGCAGCCGGCCATCTGAAGGTGGTCCAGTCTTTGTTGAATCATGGAGCATCTGTCAACAACACCACGTTAACCAATTCGACTCCTCTCCGAGCGGCCTGTTTCGACGGCCACCTGGAAATAGTGAAGTACCTTGTTGAACACAAAGCTGATTTGGAAGTCTCAAACCGACATGGGCATACGTGCTTGATGATTTCATGTTACAAAGGGCATAAAGAGATTGCTCAGTATTTACTTGAAAAGGGGGCAGATGTTAATCGCAAAAGTGTTAAAGGTGAGTTACACTTTTATATTTTTAAGTGACTGCTGCTTGTTTTCAGGAAGTTTGGGGCATAAGTCAGCATGAGTAAGCCATTGACCGACTTGTTTTGATTCCAAATCCCTTTCAGTGTAACCTAGTTGAGTGTTTTTCTAATACTTGATAACATACTGCACACATGTGATACAACAGAGCTGTGTAGGTAAGCAGCTTTTCCTCTCTTATTTGGAATAACGTCCCAGACCTGGGAAAAAGGTTCCCCAAAGTTCAGTATGCTGATCTGACACACAAACTTGTAATTCAACCTGCTTGGGAATATATTTAGATATAATGATCGTTTCTCAGCTTTTATTATTTTTAAAAATAACCTTGTAGTGGGAACGATTGTGTTTAGTGAGTCATCCTAATATTTGTTGTTAAGTATTTCATTTGTTATTCTGTCGGAAAGGGCTAGGCCAAACTGACCTAAAAGGATTAATATAAATGGAAAAGGAGAAAATCTGTTCCATATTTATTGTGTAGTCACTGGAAAAACATTTTATATAAAATGTGTATTAAGTATATCAACAGAGAAAACACAATTTTTGAAACACCTTCAGTATTGAGATAGCAAAACAAGGACTAAGTTAACAAATGTGGGTGTAAGCAACAGTGTGAGCAAACGTTCAGAAATGACTTGACTTTAATTTTCGTTAATAAACTTAAAGCAGCAATGATAGTTTAGAATATTTTAGAACTTTGAAAAGTAGTTTTGAGAGCAGAATTTTGACACTTGGAACCCTTGTTTTCCTTAAGATAAATTTAACTACATATAGTTCTCTTAGAAACTAAAGGCTATTAAAATGTAAAGTTGAATTGGTACAGGGTATGAAAATCAAAGAACACAAATTGGTTTAATATAAGTCACATACTATCTGTTTTCTGAACCTCAGACTCTCTGGCAACCACAATTTATAGACTTTGTGTTTCCTTCTAGAACTGTCTATTCAAATACAAGCATGCTTGCCTGTACTGGTCCTGAGTCCCCTTCACTTTAACTAGGGGATAGATGCATACTGTTCTCTGCCGTTTATTTATATTTTTAATCTTTAATTTACCTTGGATGTCATTCAGCTCTAGCATCTATAATAATCTCAATTTCCTTAATAGCTGTACAGTATTTCATTTTATAAATATATGTAATTTATCTAGTTTCCATTTATGGGCATTTAGTTCTCATCTGGTACTTTTGCTAATACAGTATGACTGAATATTTTGTAACAGAAGTATATTTTTGCACACATAGTTGTTGAATCAAAGTGAATGTACATTCATAATTGTGGTAATGTCCAGTGCCTTTTTTGAGAGGTTAAGACACCAAATTTGAGCACTGGATACATAGTCCATATGTTTAGTGAAGATAGTACACATTTTTTAATTTTTAAATAATTAGTATTTAAAATTTAGTAAGCTCATGAGTTTTGTATATTTTTTCCAAAGCAAGTGTGAAATCTCAAAATTTCAGAAAACAGATAATATTTCTGACAATATCTTTAATTTCACATACAGACATATAGACAATTTTACATATCCTATATCCTGTCTTTTTTTTTAAAGGTTAATTAGTATTATCTTTAACTATTCTAATTATAGCTCTTTAATTTCAGGAAGTGCATGTTCTGTTCATGGAATTTTATGTTGCTTCTGGTTTTTATGTTGCTTCTCTGTAAACATTCTTACATACGTTTTTGTTTACAGTTATCATTAAAGGTAGATTATTGGCTGAAAGGATAGCATAACTTTAAAATATTGTTTTAAACTGTTTAAATTTGTTTAAATAGTGTTCATTTTAAGAAAGTGACACATTATGTTGGGTAGTTTTTTCCTCAAAATTGCCATTCTTTTAAAAAATACTCATTTTAAGAAAGTAAATTGACCATGTTGAACTTGGGTATACTTTGGAATCATAACATAACATAAGAAAAATAGTTAAAAGGTGTTGGTGCTTATTTAGATTTGTTGACTGTTTTTTATTCATTGATCAACCAGTGTACAGATTGTTGTTGGTAAATTCACAAAGTCAGTCAGTTTGGAGTGTGCTCTTATGTTACCGTGCAGCTGAGTTCTGGTACTCTTTATCTTGTAATTTTCAAAGCTGCTTTTATACTTATGGAGATAATAGTGAATTGGAGAACTGTTCAGTGAATGATTTATGTTTTTGTCAGTATTTGTATCAGATAAAATGTGAGCAGTATTTAACGTGAAGCCATTTCAGCAGAATACCTTTATCACCACCATCTCATCATGTTTTACATATCTAAGGGTTTGATGACCTATTTTTGCTTAATGGCTTGCTGTTTCTAAGTAACTTTTTTCCAGTGTTGATACCTAATTTATTTGCCTTTAACCCACACACATAAGCACATAAACACAAATGCATATAACATTAAAAAATGTTTCCTGGTAGCTTCAATTTCATATATATATATATATATACACATACACACACACACACAGAGTATTTTTACACTTTACATAAATAAAAGCTCTAGTTGTGGTCAAGTTGGAACCAACTCATTGCTCACCTTAACAGCAGGTTTTCAGAGGCTGTTATTTGCACAGAAGGAGGGACAATGCCTTTATTTTTTTCACAGAGCGGTTGGTGAGTTCAAACCATCGGAGAAGTAGTATACTTTTGGGTTAGCAGAGTAACTCCTTACAGACTACACCACTAAAGCTCCCATACCTTTTATATTGTTAAATTTGACAATATTTCTTTATGTTGGGAAGAATTAAGGCACTTACGCATTCTTGCCTTATTTTTTTTTTTCTTGCCTTATTTTGATCCTGATGCCTTAATTAATTTATTAATTCTTTAATAAATCTTTTCAGCTGAGTCTTCTGTTTCTTTATGGGCTAATGGGTAATATGCAAGCAGAATTGAGAGAGTGAGATAGGATTTTTTCTTTCTCATCCAAGTATAGGCTGGGAAAAAATAAAACCAGCCCAAAACAACAACCCCAAAACAAGGATAAAATAGATTGATTTCTTACGAAAATGTAATATATCAGTCATAGGAAATGATTCTAAAGGGATAAAAAAAATAGACTGTGTGTGGTCTGCTTAAATATAAAATGCATATGCTTTGTACTTTCCATTACTTTTTAACTAACTATGCCACTTCAGTGTATGGTATAACCTCTTCCCATTACTTTTTAACAGGTTATGGCATTTTGAACATATTTTAACCTAAAGTAGAATTTACGTATTAATTGAGAGCATTACTGAGCTTCTCAGTGTTCCAAGCTGTTAGAGTTGGCATATGTAAAAATGAGTCAGACAAGATAACCAGTCCTTGATTACCTGCTCTTGAGGAGCTCATGCTTTGATCAGACAGGTTCATAAGCAGATACTTACACCATACTATGGTAAGTGCAACCAACAGTGGTATTTTCTTACTTAGATAATTTGGAAATGCTTTATCCCCAGCCAGCTTATTACATGAAGGGACAATGATTTCCTCCCTTCCTTGTAGTGTCTATAAAAGGGGAAAAAACCCTTTTGAGGTACTTAGAAATACTTCTGCAGTTAATAGTCACAGTAATTGATTTTTGAAACAGGAGTTGGATCCTATTCAGTCCAGACCTCTTATGTTAGAAAATATAGAGCTCTCAAATTATGTCATTGTTTGTCATCCTTGACTTTAAATTAAAACAGAAAGCTTATTACAGTGTTGAACTTTCTTTTCTTTTTTTTATACTCAAAATAGGACTTTGCAGATCTCTAGTAAAGTTACTTAAGCCTTCAATTTTGCTTTTGCACGCTAAGTCTTCCAGGAATTAAGCAGCTGAAGTACTTGATTCAGTACTACAGGTAAATGGTACAATACTACAGGCAACCCGATCCCTGCTCTCTGTTGGGATTGGGAGTCTGGCTCTGGAGGGCATTTTGCGACTATTGACCCTCTTTGGTTAATTAAGTGAGATTCCAAAAGTATTTAAGTACATTAGTAATAAGATATTTACTGTTTGTAGGCAAAGTGTTGTTTTGGGCATTCTGGAGATCTCTAGAAGATACAGGATGTCATATTTATTAACTGTTAAAATAACAGCTTGTCAACAGCCAGTGCTTTTTCTCTAAACTTCTATAACACTAGTTGAAGTATTCTTTGGGGAGAAAGTCGCACGTGAGCAGGGCCTTTAAAGGATTGTTGAAATTCAGATCTACAGACAGGATTTGGTACCATTTTCCAGCCCAGGAAATGGCATACACAGAGGAATATAGAAATATGCTTGGACTTGGAAAAATTTCAAATATGCAGAATTGGAAAGTAGGCATATTTGGACTAAAGGGAACTCAGGGCTAGATTATAAAAGACATTATAAACCAAAACCAAACCTACTGCTGTCTCATCACAACCCTTTATTGAGTTTCCGAGGCTGCAGATTTTAATGGCGGAACGACTGGTAGGCTTGAATCTCTTTGGTTTGCAGCCCAGCAGGTGAATTCACTATGGCACCAGAGCTCCTTATAAAGGGAGCTGAATCTACTTTTATGAGGTTTTTGTAGATTAATTGCTTTGTTTAAAATAAAAATCAGGAAGCTGTTGCTTAAAGATTTGTGCTATTCGAGCATCAGGGATATGATAGGCTGTATAGGTGAAATAGGTGAGCAGAAGCCTGGATAAAGAATTTTCATGAGTGCAGATTACACCAAATCTTTCCTTCTCCCTGCAGAAAAGACTGGAATAGAGGTTCTGGGCTAGCATGACCAGGAAAGAGAATTATAATGAAGTCACAATGTAATTTTATGAGTTTCAAAAACTCAAACTCCTAAGAGTTTAGAAATTCTTCATTGGATTTCCAAGTTTGCAAATTTTACAAATTCCCTGTCATATTTTGAGAATATGATTCTATGAATAGAATGGGTTTATTTTATTAATTTTAATGAAAGTTTACCAAGACTTTGGATTTCCTTGTTGTTCACTTTCCTCCCTGCCTACCCTTCCCCCAGTTCGCTCCTCTCTTTGAAAAGTA